CAACATCAAACGGGGGAAATGGTGTATTATTTGTAATTTTGTATGGATTCCAACTATTCGAATGACAGATCTTACCATTCCAGATGTCCTCTTCGTCATCCGGCTTGAAGTGGAGCCGAGATGGACGTCCTCTCTTCAACCTAAATCCCTGCCATAGGAGTAACGCAGAGACCATGGTAAAGGATAAGCTTGGTGTGTGTGTGTGTGCGTGTGTGTGTGTGAGCGTGTGTGAGTGCGTGTGTGTGTGTGTGCGCGCACGTGTGTGTGTGTGTATGTGTGTGTGTGTGTGTGTGTGTGTGTGTGTGTGTGTGTGTGTGTGTGTGTGTGTGTGTGTGACATCGCCGCTGCTGATCTGAGTGCTCGGTGCGTGACAGGTGACTGGCGAGACTTGGCGCAGGACAGACGAGACTGGCGCCTCATGTGCAATCGTCCCCGGCCGGCTGTGCCAAAGCCTAGAGTGTTCATTTGCGGCTGTGGCAGGGACTTCCGTCGGCCCAACGATCTAACTCGCCACAGGAAATACTGCAACTCCTGATGCTATCATTGCACTGAGGAATGAGCATTTAACCAGTTGCCCTCATGCCCGCTGGCTCATGGTGACAAAACCTTTTTTCAAACTGGTGACATGCCTAATTGACGGTGACCTTTCTCTCTTTCACCAAAGCAGATATGATTCAGTGGAGGTCTTCCCTATCAGGGTTGACACCGACTAAGAGGCAGACCAGTCCCAAGCAGTCCAGAGATCGAGGTCCAAAACGCAGCATCGGAGTGTGCCGGTAGCTGCTACTCACCTGGCTGAGGATACCGATGATGTTGACCTGCGGAGAGCCGTGCCACAGCAAACGATGGTTGGGCTTGGAGCGGTACTTCTCCATTCTCTCCGGCTCACCACGCCGCTCAACCTTGTACAGAGCAGAGAGCTTGACAGTCTTCATATAGATACAGGCTGAACAAAACAACCAACTACAAGCAGTAATCAGGATACACAACGGCTATCAGCGTTTTACACCCGCACATACCAAGTATGCAGTTCCCTGAGCAAGTTTTGTTATGAGCGCATGACAGAATAACAACACAACCCCCACAGACACCAGGCCAGGAGTGCATACATTGCTAACCAACCAGCAAGCTGTGGCAATGGACTAATCAGCACAGAGCGTAACAGAACCAACAAGGTACACACTCAGCGGCAGGTGCAGTGTAGAGCAGAATAGAGTAGAGTAGAGCAGAGTAGAGTAGATTAGAGCAGAGCAGAGCAGACTGCAGAGCAGACTGCAGAGCAGACTGCAGAGCAGAGCAGAGCAGAGCAGAGCAGAGGCTTACCAGTGGTGCACATGTACGTCTCAATCACCTGTCGTTCCAGTGAGTTGGGCTCCAGCAATGTCATGGACGCTTCCATGAACTTGAAGACATAGTCGAGAGGGTTCATGGTCTTGCGGCAATACCAAGCAGCAAGTAGAATACGCGCAGTCAGGCTCAAGTCAGACACTGCACACGCAATGATAACGAGAACAACAACAGCAACAGCAGCAGCAACAGCAGCAGCAACAACAGCAACAACAACAGCAGCAGCAACAACAACAGCAACAGCAACCACACCAGCGGCAACAGCAGCAACAAGTGTCAATGACAGCTGCTCTAGGCATGCAAAGACTTTGAAACAGAAATGCAGAACCTGGGTCTATATTCTAGAAGGGCACCCACTCATCGCACTCACTGCTTTTTCTTCCTGTGTGGGTACCTCGTTACCGTGTTCCTCAAATGTGTTGTACGTAAAGCACTTTCGAGGCCCAGAAGTAGCTCAGACATGTGAAAATCATCCGACATGTTCAAGCTGACTCGACCGACCAGTGAGAACAAATCTGAGATTCTAATTCTCGGGAGTTGGTGCGACCACTGAAGGTCACCTCGTACCCAGGCATCAGTGGCCACAAACAGATTGTTCGGAACAGCAGTGGTATGATGTGCTTTCTGGCATGGTGATGATTGTGCTGCACTGTACAAATACATGTAGTGGCAATATACAATACCGGTACAGTCGAATGTCACTTGTCCGGTCGCCAGTTATCCGAGCACGTCGGTTATCCGACAAGCCCGGGAGTGGTAATTTTATGACTCCCAACAGTAAATTTCTAAGAAAATATTTGTTTTTTTTGTATATTATACGGTGTAATATGCATTTACTTGAAGTAGATGTGGTCAAGTATGCTAACATGTATGTGTACATGGAGCAATTCATGAATATGCATGAATATTATTTGGGTATTGTGTACATAAATCAGTGAAATCCAGCCATATATGCACATAAAAAATGATATCAGTTATCCAACATATTCAGTTAACCAACATGCTTGATTCCCGAAGTGGTCGGATAAGTGACATTCGACTGTATCTTACAGGGAATAGCACCCAACCACCCACACGCATACCCCCCCCCCCCCCCCCCCCCCCCCCACACACACACCCACATCAACATACACAAACACATCCACCCAACCCCCAAGCACCCTCATCCACACATCCACGCACCCACAACACACATTGCAAAGATAGGAATGACACAGACACATGGTCAATGCTAGTGGCAGCTGCACAGTGATCTTACAGTGTTCTAGGCGTTGCATGGCCGTGGTGAGAATGTGCTCTTCTGACATGATGATCATAGGAGAGGAACCAGTGCCACCAAAGGCAGTGTGGGCGAACGGCATGATCTCGTAATACTTCTGACTGAGTTTGACAATGCGATTGTTGATTCCCATCAGCTGCTCAATGTCGCAGTTGGGCTGGTAACGCAACTGGTTGTAATTCTTGACCAGAGGATGGAGCTCCAGCAGTACACTCTTGGCCTGGAAGATCTTCTCAGCGCTGGCCTCACCGAACATCAATACTTTCTCTGCACTTTCCTTCGACAAGCCATGCATGGTAGCACGGTCTCTCAGCACTGTCACGTCCATCAGGTATTTCAGAGTGGACTGCAATGTCTTGTCCAGTGCGGAATCGGGTACTGAGTCAAGGTCAATGGGCATCAGTAGAGAGGACACGAGCATGTGTGAACAGTCGGTCGACATCAGCGAATACTTCTTTGCCTGTGCCGTGAAGCTGCTCTTGTCTTTCGCTGACTGCACAAAGTCATTGCCCGTTTTGCTGCGAAAGATCTTCTGGAACTCCGTGCATGCCTCGTTGACTGTGCCGAAAGGAGTACGTTGGTACATACCTTGGTCATCTCCCCACCGGCCCCAGTGAGTCCACAGGTAATATGCGTCCTGAACAGCACACATACAAATATCACACACACACATGCATATACACACAATTACACATACACACACGCACACACATACACACACGCACACACACACACGCGTACACACACACACGCACACACACACACACACACACACACACACACACACACACACACGACATAATGCACGTTCCTAGCGTTAGCTTCCTACAGAATATTGATGAGGCCAAAACAAATAATGACCTTGTTTCCGGTCGGCCGACCGGGCCACTTTTTCCCAAATTCTGAAATTGTTTTGGTCCCAAATGTATACAAACGGTGGCAATGCCATGTGTGCAAGTGCACTGAACGAGTCATAACTCAGTCAAATCTCAACCGAATTCCATAATCGAAACACCTACAAGGTAGCAGAGATTCTCAGCTGTCGGCTCGAAAACCTCCGGGGTCGATACGAGCTAGAATAACGGAGCTGGAAGGACTCGAACTGTTTGCTTGATTTCTCAGATTTCTCAGGATGTACGAAAACAGGAATACACCACATGCTGTACAAGAACAGTGAGTCAGTCAACTTTGACATTGATCCTTGCCATGATATATGTACAATGTACATGTGTAGGACTGGTGCTCTTGTCCATCAATACCACAACGATTGAGGAACCAAAAAATATCCAAAAAAAGTTTCTTTCCGGCCGACCGAGTCTCCTTTTTGAGGGGTTGCCGACCGGAAACAAGCCTATTTTTTGTTTTGACCTGATGTGTTGCCCTTGGAATCAGAACACTGCATACCCCACATTGCAGACGTCACAGTTTGGAATATTCACGCATTAAAATGTGTCTCATCAAACAGCACCCCCCCCCCCCCCCCCTCCACACACACACACATTATAATCTATGATACAAATCAAAACGTAGCCTCCCTTGCTCAAGTCACGCATATTTTTCTCTGCCTGGCTCACTAACCTGAACACTCTCATGCAGTACTTGCATGCGATAGTAGTTGTTGTAGCCAAAAGCACCGTGCGACAGGTCCACCTTGTTCAACAGGACATCGAACAAAATGCCATCGTCATCTTTGTACACTGTCGACGTGTCCTTCTTTTCAAAGCAGTGATCAGGTGGTGGCTTGACTTTCTCCTGCAGCAGGAACACAAAAACGAACGCAAACATGCAGATGGAAAATGGCAGAGAGCAACAGAACTTCAACAGGGAACCACATTCATCCAACTGATCACGCTGCCGACAAAAACACAATGGCACCACAACAAGAGATAAGCAAAAACACAACCAATGAAAAACATCAATTCCTTGTCAAGCTGAGAAGAACACAACAGAATTGCTGAGCCATGAGCAGCAGCACTCTCAGTACTTACCTTGGCAGCTGTTTCAGTTATGTATGCCAGACAATCCTCATCTGCGCTGTACGGCCGATCAGCAAACTTCTTCCACACCGTTCGGCCACGACTCAAGCCTGGCATGGGAGCAGCAGCGCCCAGTTTTTGCAGAGCAGCGGCCATGCAGCCAGAGTCTTGCAGCTTAGCATAGTGCATGGGTGTCTTGCCGTTCTCATCCGTATCCGACAACGGTGCATCAGCCTTGGCCAGCTTCTTCAGAAGATCAACATTCTCGTAGGAGCCATACTCAATAGGCTTGACAACCAGATGTACCAGGGTGCGATCAAACTCTCCCTTCCATGACACATCGCTGTGTGCAATTAGTGAAGTGGCCATAGCGGTTTCATTGAGAACAATGGCATGGGCAAGTGGGGACCTACCCTTCTCATCACACATCTCACAGATCTTCTTCTTCTCGGGAGTTGAGGTGTGCATCAGGGCATCGAACAGTTCCTTGTTCCCTTGCCGTACCGCATGACACAGAAGTGTGGTGGCGCCATCGGTATATGCAGCATCTGAATATCGAATGCAGCGCTCAGCGGAGGCGCTTAGCAGCAGTGCTGCAGCCTGGTAGGCCTCCTCACACAGCGGGGCTTTCTTCGCGATTGGAGAATTGAAGTAGCCACGACCCAAAAGCTCAGCCACACGCTCTTCTTTCTTGTCCAGCTCAAGCTTGCTGGAGCTGGTGATGCGACGATTACCCTCCACAGCGAGTACTAGCGGGGACTTTCCATCTTTGTCGAGGATGTTGACATTGGTAGCAGTCCTATCAGCAAGGGCAGTCACCAGGGCTCTGCAAGCGCGTTGAGCAGCATAGTGCAAGGCTGTGCGGCCATGCACATCGTATACGTTGACGTCAACACCTGCGTTCACCAGGATGTCGACAACATCCACAATACTGTTGTCCACAGAGCAGTTGGAAGAGATGGCCAGCCAGTGAAGGAGACCGCGCTTCTGTTCGTCCTGGATCTGCAGCTTGTCATCGTCCACTTTCTTCATCAGCGTACACGTCAGAATGTACTTCTGAGTCAGCATAGCATCACGCAGTCCATCAAACAGCGGGAAGTCAGAGTCAAAGATCATGTAGGAAACACCCAGCCAGCCTCGCTGCACTGCGATGTAGAAGACACTCTCAATGGTCACCTCAATAGAGAAGACATCCTTGCCATTGGTAATCTCACCCGGTGTGGTCTGTGCACCTTTCTGCATCATCATGATGGCATACTCAGGGTTGTTGTAGCACAGTGCCATGCGCAAAGGCATCGTTCCCTCCACGCTGTCCTTCAAGTTCAGCTCGGCACCCTGAGAAATGAGATGCAGAGAGCAGGTCAGAGCAGACACTTTGGCTGCATAGTGCAGTGGGCTACGGCCAAACTTGTCAAGGGGATCCACCTTCGTTCCTTTGCCTACTGAGAAAAGGCAGTACACCGTCTCAATGGGGTCGTACTTGCTGTGGTTGGAAGCTTCACTCTTCTCCGTCAACTCCATCACCTTCTCCAGGGGTGCCACAACGGCACGTTCTTCAGGGGTCTTTCGACTCGGCTCCACATATTCAGCAGGCAGGAAAGCGTAGTGAACAGCAGAGCGGCCAAACACATCCACTGCATTGATATCACAACCACGTTTCAGAAGCATTGCCTCCAAGTCCGACGAGGCATCAGCACGTGCTGCACCGGTGGCCACGGCGTAGTGCAGTGCAGTACGGCCAAGGTGATCCACCGTGTTCAGCTCACAACCAGCTTCCAGGAAGTCCTGTGCAAGCTGACGATCACCAGCCATACCAGCCAGATGAAGAGCAGTGCGTCCTTTTCGATCCTGCAGGATCAGGTCACTGGACTTCAGCACAGTCTTGAAGAGAGTGTTACCTTTCTGACCAGGAGTCATGACAAGTAGTGCACTTTGGCCTTCAATGTTCTGCTTGTTGACATCAGCCTTGGCATTCAAGAGTTTGCGAGCAGCTGCGTCGTTGTTTCCTTTCAGTGCCAGCTGCAAAGCAGTCAGTCCGCCAACACACTGGAGGTCAACATTGACTTCTGACCTCTTCAACACGGCGTCCAGGATTGGCTGCCACTTCTCATCAGTTTGCTCTGCCACATAGTGCAGTGCGGTGTAGCCAAACTTGTCGCCAGGGTTGGCACGGAACATAGCTTCATCATCCTCATTCACCAGCTCAAACGACAGTTTCCCATCAGCTGCCACAGGCACTTGCTTCTTCCTGGACTCATCATCAGAGCAATCCATGTCTTCATCCTCGTAGGGTGAGTAGGCTTTTTCACTGTGAGATTCACAGTCGGAGTGTGCGTCTGAATTATCCTTGGGAGGAGAAGAGTCGGCCTTTAAAGACCTTGTTCTGCGTTTAGGAAGGTTGATATCAATGTTCTTGTTATTGATCATTTTCTTCACGTTAGCCCGTGCGTCGTCGGCTTTCTGCTCAAACTCTTCTTTTCTCCAATGGGTGGCCACGCTGACCCGTGAAAAGCAGTTTTCGACTGCTTGAAGAGCCAGCAGCAAAGGTGTGTTGCCGCTGGATTCATACGAATTGACAAGCGTATCTGCATCGCCATGCTTGAGCAGTGCTGCAATCAGTGGGTCGGCTGCGTCCTCGTCGAGTTGCTTGACGGCATAGTGAAGGGGATTGTGACCGTCCTGATCGACCGCCGTCACCTTGACACCGTGCTCCACCAGGAAGCTGGCGGCACGCATGTTGGGCGAGTGACCTTTCAGCGAGCACAGCAATGGTGTAGACCCATTCTTGCTTGCTCCCTCCGCGTCTGCACCACTGTCCAGAAGAAGACTGGCAAAGAGCTCGATCAGTTCGTTACGCGAATCCCCGGGGAATGCCCCGGTGCTTGCACACAGATGATGCAGCGGAGTCATGCCAGCAGCGTCGGCAATGGTGATATCAGCACCACGCTCAATCAGCAGTTTCAGCTGTGACAGACCTGCGAAGGACGGGCACATGCACAGGTTAGCGGCAATGGTGCGGCCCTGGCCGTCAATCACATTCAGATTGACATCCTTCAGCGAGACAAGGTAGTTGACACACTCCGCCTGGTGCTTCAACGCAGCGCACGACAGTGGGGTCGCCTTCCACGATGCAACTGGATCAGAATTAGCACCACCTTCTTCTACAAGCACCTTCAACACCGGTAGCCATCCATACGCAGCAGCATAGTGGGCTGCAGTGTTGCCGCTTGAGTCTGCACAATCAGCGTCAGCACCATGGTGTAGCAGATATCGCACAACATGAACCTGGCCCTCGCGGCACGCCAGGATCAGAGGCGGACGCTGGCGACGATCAGGCTTGACAATGGAGAAGCCCTTGTCCTTCATCTTCTTGATGACGTCCAGGTGACCAAACGCAGCCGCGACTCCCATGGGTGTCATGTGATTCTGATTACAGCCTACTTCCTTGGCACCAGCACCAATCAGGGTATCGACAACATCAACATGGCCGTTTAGCGCAGCCAGGTGGAGAACTGTGTTAGCCTCGCGGTCCTTTTGTTTCAAAAGCAGTTCGATGTTCTGCTTGTCGGCTACAAGCAGCTTGACATTGTCAGCACGGCCCAGGCGAGATGCTATCATCAGTGGTGACTCCTTCTCCTTGGTAACACACATCATGTCCGCACCTTTCTCCAACAGAAGTCGCAGTGGACCATCAGCAGTGCAGGCAGCTGCGTAGTGCACAATCCTCCACTGCTCAGAGTCACTCACAGAGTTGTCGCCATGCACCTTCAGTAGCTCGGCCAGATATTTAGAATCTGGATTGATGGCGGCCATGTGAACTGGGGCGATGCACTTGTTCCTAGAACCTCCCTTCTTCGTCACGCTGACCTCGCGGAAAGTATCAAATGGCTTGCCATCATCACTCAATGACTGCAAGTGCAGTGCGTTCATGTCCCAGCCACCGTTTCCAAGCATTTTCTTGACAATGTGCTGAGCCATAGCACGGTTGCCGAAACGAACAGCTTGATACATGCTATACATGGCTTCGTAATGCAGATCGTACAGTGCCTGCACTCGCTCAAAGAAATCCTTGTTGGAGCAGTGCTGGAAGAGACATAACAGGACGTAGCTGTCAAGGACGTATTCGGCAGTCGAATTGGCAAGCATGGCATTGTGCAGTTCACGGCCACCTCGTGCAGCCCCGACCGCTCCAACTGCATGGCCGAATGTAGCAATGCCAACAGAACCGGACTGGATGTAGCGCAGGCTAGATGGTGGCTCCTGCACTCGCACCTCACGATTGGTGCCGTCCTTCGGATTCATGGTTTTGTGGTACTCAGTCACAACGGGCAAGTCAGCATTGCAAATTGCAATAGACAAGCCTGACTCTGGGTTCACTGGCGAGCGGCTGTACAAAATGGCACTCACATTCTTGACGTCGGCAAATAGTTTCTTCAGTAGCGTCAGATCCTTTCTGTTCACAGCACGTATGATATCAAGAGCATGCAGCGTGTTGCCACCTTTCACTGGACTGTCACCACTGAAGATAGGATCTGTGTCGAGCAGATCCACGCCGGGTCTTGGCGCCACAAATCCTTTCTTGTATTTGACCGGCTTAGGAGGTTTCGGAGACCTGGCTGGCTTTCCAGGTGATGATCCGGCTGAGCGGCGACCACCGCGTGGTTTCTTGGCCGGTGGCTGATCATCATCATTGTCTGATCCATCACCGTCATCGCCGCCGCCGCCGCCACCACCACCACCACCACCACCCGATGCAGAGGCTGTGCGAGGTGCAGTAGCAGCACTGGATGCCTTCCTGCGCCGGCGCTGGCTACTCTGGGTAGCGGCCGCCCCCGGTGAGAAAGCAAACACGTCGCTAGGATCGTCACCACTCTCGCCATCACTTTCTGCGTCAGCGTCGTCATCCTCCTCCTCAAAGTCCTCGTCATCGTCCACAGTAATCTGCCCTTGGACGCCAAGCCTACATGGGTGGATAAAGAACACAAAGAACAAAGAAACAAAGTGGAATCCAACCCCACATAAAATGAGCAGACAGACAAGTCAAGTGCATGTACCGTAAAGTACCGGTAATCCGCCCCCTCTCTAATTCCTGCCCCCTGTCGATTTTCTACCTGTGAAGCGATTTCCGCGTATACAACGAAATACGATGTTGAACCGACGCTTGCACTGCTGTACACAATATGTGCCAATCCAGGATGAAAATGTGCACATCGAGTCTGATCCTCCAAGTTAGTTGTTGTACATCGTACTGCACTTGACAGCCTTGATCTAATTCCCGCCCCCTGCCGAAAAACCAGCTGGGAAGCGACATGGCGTGGGGGGGGGGGGGGGATCAACGGTACTTTAGGGTATAAGTAAAGTATATTGCCCAAAGCTAGGTTAAGGCTTTTCTAACTCAAACACAAACATAAGGATTCAAAGAATTCACAAACTAGTTTTTTTTGTGGTCGATAATGAAGTGAAGTAACCAGAGCCAATGGAATAAAAATGATGTTCATGTAACACCACAAATAGTGGCAATCATTAAAAGTTATAAGGTCAGTGAATAAAATTTAATGGTGTGTGTCGATGGGGGAGGGGGGGGGGGGGGAGAGAGAAAGAAGGGGGGGGGAGAGAGAAAGAAGGGGAGGGGGGATGAGGGAGAGAAAGAGAGACTGCTAGCAGGCTCCCCACATGCTAGTTTGCACGTGAAGTGTGTGTGTGTGTGTGTGTGTGTGTGTGTGTGTGTGTGTGCGTGTGTGTGTGTGTGTGTGTGTGTGTACAGCCCGGCTGCTCCCCACCAGCAGGTGTGGGTTCACAGAGGCGTGAGTTTCGAAGCCTGAAGAAAATGTTAAACGGGTGCTGCTGGGATGACGACTACACTATAGCTTAACGGTAGAGCATCGCTGGCCATAAGTGATGGTTCCTGGTTCTAATCCTGGTGCACATGTTGGTGGTAATCTCTGGCCGACCTCACAAACCAGCAACATGACTCCAATTTGCAGATACTGACAAATAATTTGTTTCCTCCATATAGTGCTGTTCCGACCACTATAGGTCTCATCAGTGAAGGTTGAGGATTAATTTGGATCGCACAGTTTTATACATAGAATGAAATGAAGAAGCGCGATCCCGTGCTTATAGGTAACAGCAAGAGTACATAACCCCCAAGAGTGTGCAACTCCAGCTATGGGGTCTGCTCTCTGCGACGGCAGAACTTCACATCACGTGATGAACCCGTACACATTATTTGCACTCTGTGCATGATAGATACAGGGTTGTACGCAACCCAGCTTTGGGTACAACTCTCTTGTGGTCACTTTGCACTGTTTGCCAGCATAACCTTTTGAACCATGTCACGTGATGTGAAGTTCTGCCGTCGCAGCACTGCATAGAGGTTGTGCAGGCAGTTGCACACTCTTGGGGTTATGTACTCTCAGTAACAGACATGCTATGTGCTAACACACAGAGAAAAGGTGCAAAATGAATAGTGGTCGAAACAGCGGTGTATGGAGGAAACAACATTTTTGTCAGTATCATTCTACAACTTGGAGTCATGTTGCTGGTTTGTGAGGTCGGCCAGAGAGCCCGTTTGGTGGAGGTGGAATTGCTTCATTAACAATAGATGAAGAGAATAAAATTGATATCGATGCACCTCAATAAATGAAGTTCCATCATACCTCAGAAAAGTGGATCTTCCGACCAGTGTTTTTGCTGACGTCGCAGCCAGATGATGCACCTGCTTTGTAGAGACGCTTTGCTGCACAAATCACAACATAATAACGATCAGAAGAATGCGAACGCAGCAGGGAATCGTAAAAAAATACATTTTTTTTGACTCCCTGGAACGCAGTCACCCGCATGCGCAGACAAAGAGTGGCAATAATCAGACTCAAACGTTTTCTTGCAGCTGTCTTCAGGAATGGATCACCACAATGAATGGCAAGTAAACATATAACATGAATATACTAGGCAATGGGGAGGCATTCAATGTTACAGTACAGCAGCAATGCAATACTCCTATCACATACGAGTAGCTAAGCAAGGTGCAAGGGTGCAAAAGTAGAGACCTACGCAGGTTATGCTACCAGGACGTGTAGAGGTGCCAGGTGAACACTGTGAGTCGGGTGACGTGTTCTTTCGGAATGCATAGGTCTGGGTTGCCTAGGCGCATGATGAGGATACATGTAGCTTCTAACGTTAAGACATGAAACCGACTACTGGCATAACACAAAACACTGAAGCAGCACGAGTCAACATAACCTTCATGGCACTGGATATTTCAGCGCCATGTCTTAGAAGCTATTTTCATGCGCCTAGGCAACCCAGACCTATGCATTCAGAAAGAACACGTCACCCGACTCACAGTGTTCACCTGGCACCTCTACACGTCCTGGTAGCATAACCTGCGTAGGTCTCTACTTTTGCACCCTTGCACCTTGCTTAGCTACTCGTATGTTATAGGAGTATTGCATTGTTGCTGTACTGTTACATTGAATGTCTCCCCATTGCCTATATATTCATGTTATATGCTTACTTGCCATTCATTGTGGTGATCCATTCCTGAAGACAGCTGCAAGAAAACGTTTGAGTCTGATTATTGCCACTCCTTGTCTGCGCATGCGGGTGACTGCGTTCCAGGGAGTCGTAAAATATGTATTTTTTACGACTCCCTGCTGCGTTCACATTCTTCTTGTCGTTTTTCGTCATTTTGTGCAGCAAAGCGCCCCCACGAAGCAGCTACACCATCTGGCTGCGACGTCAGCAAAACCACTGGTCGGAAGATCCACTTTTCTGAGGTATGTGAGGTGCTTCGAAATTTACTCTCTTGATCTATTATTTATTCATAAGTTTGAGGGAGTTGAAGCAGGAAAAGACAGCCACACGAATACATCTGAATCGGATTATTGTCGCTCTGTGCCTGTGGATGATTGGGTTCACATTTTCTCATCATTACTAAATGTCGGTCTCCTTGTCGCCAAATTAGAAAAAAACTTGGATTCGAAAACCAAGAGATTTCAGAGCTCTCCGAAGAGAATGTGGAAGGAAACCAACCACACACATACAGTGCCGCCAAATAATTTTCGCCCAAAATCTGGCACTATTTACCGCAAATTTTCAGAGAATCCAAAATATCGCCCAAAAAACGAGGGAAAAATCACTTCGTTGCCATGGTAACCAACATGGCGCCCAGAAGTTGTCATGAATGTACTGTATTCGCCCTTTTAAAAGCACATGTACAGTGATTTGTGTGTTTAGTTGAGCTCAAAAGTGAAATTACAGGACTTCTGCAAAGGAAAGTACTGACCCCTGACATTTTTGGCTGCTTTTCGGACATATCCTTTTTCGGATCGGCTTTCGGAAGAGCCTTCAAAAATCGGACACTGTCTGAAAAATCGAACGGTTTGGCAGCACTGCACATACCTCAACCGAAAAAGAAACGACCCGTTATCCGTTCGGTCAGCATTGATCGGCCAGATCCACAAACCGGCTGTCCTGCAGCGAGTTCCTGACACTGAATCTGTCCTCAGCACAAATTGCCAACTCCATCCAGAAATTCCCAGAATACAATTCTATGACGAGAGAGAGAAGGGGAGAGGGAGGGAGGGAGGGAGAGAGAAAGGGAGAGAGAAAGGGAGAGAAATGGGGAGAAAGAGAGTTATGAGTAAAGTACTACTACTCATAATAATAGCGATATAGAGAAGGTCCTCGGTTTGAGTCCTTGGTGGTGGTGACAGTCGAATATTCTTCAGATATTTCCCTTTCCAGTCCCTCAAACTTATGAGCAACTGCTACTAATAACAAGAGTCCATAAGTGGGGTTATGGACTCTTGCTAATAATAATATGAAATAGTGGTAGCACGTCTTTGGTCTGAGGATAGAAAGTGAGAGAGAGAGAGAAAAAACTTCGTTGGCGTTAATTTTTAAAGGGAAGTTGGTTGCTCCGTCCACCAGAGCTTGTGCTTTCTCCGCCAACGTGGTTCGATACTTGACTGACTACCAACTGCCAACCAGGGCACATGAGAAGTCCACAGAGTCCACAGATGCTATCCCTGTCATTGGGCTTTTCTTTTTTTTAACATTCTGCTGAATGTAGAAAGGAAAAGGACATATGGATACGAGTTAAGAGTAACTCTCCATCACTGTAACTGGATACTATATACAGTCAGTCAGTCTTTCTACATTTATTTATGGCTCAACATCCGAGTTTCATTCTGCTGAATAATTTAATTTCGTGGTGCTTTCGAGCTGATAAGCATCCTTTGCCTGTGTTATGTAGCGTGTGTATGCAAACTTCCCTGAAAGTCCATGTGCATACTACATTCCAAGTTACATGGGGGGGGGGGGGGGTAAAAACCTCGTTTGGGAGTACGCTTGAAAACGTTCACTGCACAGGTCAGTTCAGTGTGCATGGGTACTGTGAAGTAAGCTGCACTGGCCAGTGCAGCTTCCGCAAAAGCTGTGTCTACGGCGCATAGCACAACGCTGCGTGGCAATTATGTGAGCATTCCGACATGCACAACGTGTTGTGGGCACATGTCTGGATAATAGGAATGTCCGGATCACTAGTATGGTGTGATACGTGACGCGTATGGTATGTGGTGCATGCAAGAGTACAACACGTCGTCAGAGGGTGAGAATTGTCCGTGTGAAAGTGATCGTCGATTGAGTGTCAAGCATGCGTAGTGCTAGTTTGGTCTGAGAGCGAGAGTGATGAGTGATTTGTCCGTGGTCTTGGTCCCTGATTGGTCGTCTCGATTCGTCTTCACTTTTATTGCTACTTGTTCTTTGTTGTTCCTTTTTCTGTTCGTTGCTGTCTTTCTTTGGCAGTTGCTGTTTAACCTTTCACCTTTCTCCTCCTGTGCCTCACCACAAGTCATGTTGTTTAGAAGACATCAACTATAACTGATAGATCGTTGTGATTGTGGTGTGGCGGGGGCCAGCGGGAGAAGGCAACACTGCTAATTGTGTCACATTGCCACTGGCGCCCAATTCGGGGCTCGAACCCACGACCCTGAGACTGACAGTCTCATGCTCTACCATGCTCACACAGGAACTTACTCTCGTTGAATACGCTTGTGCTCCGACCACGAGACCCTGACACGATCGTCCTTCAGGCCAGTGGTTGCCTTGACGGATACCCATTGTAAAGAAGCCCGGCGTATGCCCACGCGGCCCATTCCCAGTGGCATCCACAAACAGCCGCGCACACCTACTTGCTCATTGAAATACGGACAGCCATCTATGATTGCGTGCGCACCCTGTGGCTCATACTCTACAGGCACAGTACCAAAGACTTCCACTAGATGATAGCCCACCTCTGGGTCAACACTGCCTCCTCCGTAAGCTATCAAATCACCGTCATACAGGAGAATATCCTCCGGTCCTCGGGTATCTCCTCGGCGAGATCGCAGGCGACTGCCGATGGTCTGCAGCTCAGCCTGCTCAACATCCTCATCTTCAGTGGATGTAGCGCCAGCAGCATCATTGGTCTGAGACGCAGCAGCACTGGGTGTAGCTGCACTATCTCCGCCATTGCGCCCTGGGCCCTTGCGTCTTGCACGCGGCATTGTCACACTGCACTGTATCTCACGATCGCTCGACTATTACTACTGTAGTGTAGCCTACAGCAACAGCACTCCAGCAGCGCAGGCCAGTCCAGTCCAGGACAGCAAATACCGGCCAAAATAATTTAAAAAAATATTTACTACGAAACACCAATAGTGGCAATACGCTGTGGCAAGTGCAACTCTACACTTCTCTGCTCCAACCGAGGCATCTCAGTCCCTCAATCACATCGTCCACCAAGCAAGGAGCTAAAGGAGGAAGGAGTGCGCTAACAAAATTTAATAACAGTAGTTAGTTGCCCCTTCTGACACCATGAGCTTTGCCTTGTCAAACAAGTCATCTTGTCCATCCAAGGAATTTTAAAATATTTTAAAATACTACTGAGGCCAAACTAAAGAAGGTGTGTGGTTCGACTAACATGGACATTTTTTTTACGGGCGGGCGGGCGGATTTTTTTTTTTTTAATATATTTTTTAGTACATGTAAATACACTGTATACCGTACGCGTATCGAGTAGACTCTACTAGTACTACCAGCACAAGGCAGCAGTCGTACCACTCACTGCACTGCACTGCAGTACAACTACAAGTCAAGTCCAAAAGGAGCCGCCTAGCGTCCGCAGACTCACGCCGCACAGCACGTAGACGTGGACGTGTTCAGTCCACGTACGTCAGTCACACGACAGCCCGCCGAAAAAAAGTTACGGTCGGGCTGAAATTGTACGGTCGGTCGGGTGAGTCGAACCACACACCTTCTTTAGTTTGGCCTGAGTATTAATTTTTCAACATCCGATCGATTCGATCACATGGCATGTCATGTCGCCACTTGCTTGGACTTGTCAGAAAAGTGTTGTGTCTTGTCTTGCTGGTAGATCTACATGCATGTAACATGGTCTTGGTCTTGCTGTAGCGCGATGACCAAGTAACGTTAGTTTGACAAATCTATAATGACGCACGACGCACGTGCGTAGATAGCAGTACGTCATTCTTTATATTTTTTGACAAGTCCCAGCACGTGGGTCGTGGCCACGTGGCGACGCGACACCATCGTACGATTTGACCCACACAACAAGCCAAGCAACGAGATACGACTCTCCCGATCCCGGGCCAAGAGTATGGCAAGGCAAAGCCATTTTCTTGGTTTCAGAAGGGGCAACTTGTCGGCACACGCCTTTCCCCTTCAGCTGCTTGTTGGAGGACTCCAGCAGCCTCTGTATAAAACCTTCTGATTGAGGGTCAGATGCCTCAGAGCAGAGAAACGTAGAGCAAAGTTGCACTTGCTACTGCGTATCATTGGTGTTTCGTGGTAAAGAATTACCGTAATATTTTAATTATTTTGGCCAGTGTTTACTGGCCTGGACTGGCCTGCTGGAGTGCTGTTGCTGTAGTCGAGCGATCGTGAGGTACAGTGCAGTGTGACAATGCCGCGTGCAAGACGCAAGGGCCCAGGGCGCAATGGCGAAGATAGTGCAGCTACACCCAGTGCTGCTGCGTCTCAGACCAATGATGCTGCTGGCGCTACATCCACTGAAGATGAGGATGTTGAGCAGGCTGAGCTGCAGACCATCGGCAGTCGCCTGCGATCTCGCCGAGGAGATACCCGAGGACCGGAGGATATTCTCCTGTATGACGGTGATTTGATAGCTTACGGAGGAGGCAGTGTTGACCCAGAGGTGGGCTATCATCTAGTGGAAGTCTTTGGTACTGTGCCTGTAGAGTATGAGCCACAGGGTGCGCACGCAATCATAGATGGCTGTCCGTATTTCAATGAGCAAGTAGGTGTGCGCGGCTGTTTGTGGATGCCACTGGGAATGGGCCGCGTGGGCATACGCCGGGCTTCTTTAAAATGGGTATCCGTCAAGGCAACCACTGGCCTGAAGGACGATCGTGTCAGGGTCTCGTGGTCGGAGCACAAGCGTATTCAACGAGAGTAAGTGTCACTCCGCGCGGTGTGTTTGTGTGTGTGTAGCACTGTGCGTGTGTGTGTGTGCATGTGCACGTGCACGCATTCTAGCTTGGTAGGTACAATTTAACCAAGAGTATACAGGGGCGTAGAAGGGGTTTTGGAAGTGGTACGACCGAAGGTGAGCACGGCTGAAGGCCGTGTTGGAGGGGGGTGCTAGGGACCTCCCCCCCCCCCCCCGGGAAATTTTGTAAAAAAGACACAAAATCCTGCGTTCTGGGAACTTCTGGCACACTGATCAGCTGACTCATGACTGTGCAGTGTGCAGTCGAGTTGAGTACAGTACTCAGTAGATCTACGACTGCAGATGCATGGCAGATCTACGAGTACGAGTCTAGAAAAAGGTCAAAGTCTGATGCGCATATGATATCGATGGATCCTGATTTTTTTTATTGCGGTTTTGCACGTTCCGGACGGACCACACTTTTCGAAAAGTGGTACGGCCATGGTCGTACCATGCATATGTACCAGTCGTAGCGGGTGCTACGCCCCTGGTATATACATGTAAGCTCCCAAGAGCGTGCAACTCTGGATACCCTCTCTATGGGGTCCGCTGACGGCGAAAACTCACATCACGTGATGTAGTGTTCCCCTTGCACGTCCCCAGCCCGTTTTTTAGCGACTGCAGTAGTAGTAACAAAAAACTAAACATAGCACTCCCTGACAGAAGCCCACACAGATTATGCGAGCCATCAGCATGATCATGGCAGATGTTTGGCCCGCGCACATGCTGCCCTTCGCCGTACATAGTACGAATCGTACTTGGAACACGTGATGGAGGTTTTTCGTCGGAGACCCCATATGCAGAGTTGCACACTCTTGGGAGCTTATTTTACTCTTGATTGTAGCAGATAGTAGTGACTTGTGCTGGAATTCCATACGTATTTCTAGCATTCATTACTAAACCTGGCCGAAATCCTATTATTGCTATGGCTTGCTCTTTGGAGAAATAGACTTCAGAAACATAATTGGAAGAGCATTCTGCGGGATTGCCGAAAAAAATGGGGCAAACACTCAAAATTTGACCCATTTATGGCCAAAAGCTAGGATATCATCATTTTTTCTGATTAGACTGTTGTGCTTCTTTCACCTCCACGCAGCCATTCCCGTACAAACTGAAAGTGACTGTGAAATGAATTAGATCAAGGCTGTCAAGTGCAGTACGATGTACAACAACTTGGAGAATCAGACTCGATGTGCTGGATTGTGCACATTTTCACCCTGGATTGGCACAAATTGTGTACAGCAGTGCATGCGTCGGTTCAACATCGTATTTTTGTTGTACTGTATACGCCGAAGTCGCTTCACGGGTAGAAAATCGACAGGGGGCGGATCAACGGTACTTCATGGTACCTGTACGTGACTTGTCTGTTTGCTCATTTTATGTGGGGTTGGATTTCATTTTGTTTCTTTGCTCTTTGTGTTCTTTATCCACCCATGTAGGCTTGGCGTCCAAGGGCAGATTACTGTGGACGATGACGAGGACCTTGAGGAGGAGGATGACGACGCTGACGCAGAAAGTGATGGCGAGAGTGGTGACGATCCCAGCGACGCGTTTGCTTTCTCACCGGGGGCGGCCGCTACCCAGAGTAGCCAGCGCCGGCGCAGGAAGGCATCCAGTGCTGCTACTGCACCTCGCACAGCCTCTGCATCGGGTGGTGGTGGTGGCGGCGGCGGGGATGACGGTGATGGATCAGACAACGATGATGATCAGCCACCCGCCAAGAAACCACGCGGTGGTCGCCGCTCAGCCGGATCATCACCTGGAAAGCCAGCCAGGTCTCCGAAACCTCCTAAGCCGGTCAAATACAAGAAAGGATTTGTGGCGCCAAGACCCGGCGTGGATCTGCTCGACACAGATCCTATCTTCAGTGGTGACAGTCCAGTGAAAGGTGGCAACACGCTGCATGCTCTTGATATCATACGTGCTGTGAACAGAAAGGACCAGACGCTACTGAAGAAACTATTTGCCGACGTCAAGAATGTGAGTGCCATATTGTACAGCCGCTCGCCAGTGAACCCAGCGTCAGGCTTGTCTATTGGAATTTGCAATGCTGACTTGCAGGTGCTGACTGAGTACCACAAAACCATGAATCCGAAGGACGCCACCAAGCGTGAGGTGCGAGTGCGGGAGCCACCATCTAGCCTGCGCTACATCCAGTCCGGTTCTGTTGGCATTGCTACATTCGGCCATGCAGTTGGAGCGGTCGGGGCTGCACGAGGTGGCCGTGAACTGCACAATGCCATGCTTGCCAATTGGACTAGTATGACTGATAGCGTCCCTAACATGTACGTCCTGTCGCATCTCTTCCAGCACTGCTCCGACATGGATTTCTTTGAGCGAGTGAAGGCACTTTACGATCTGCAGCACCAAGCCATGCTGAACATGTACCAAGCTGTTCGTTTCGGCAACCGTGCTATGGCTCAGCACATGGTCAAGAAAATGCTTGGAAGCGGTGGCTGGGACATGAACGCACTGCACTTGCAGTCATTGAGTGATGACGGCAAGCCGTTTGATGCTTTCCGCGAGGTCAGCGTGACGAAGAAGGGAGGTTCTAACAACAAGAGCATTGCCCCAGTTCACATGGCCGCCATCAATCCAGATTCTAAATACCTGGCCGAGCTACTGAAGGTGCATGGTGACAACTCTGTGAGTGACTCTGAGCAGTGGAGGATTGTGCACTACGCAGCTGCCTGCACTGCTGATGGTCCACTGCGACTTCTGTTGGAGAAAGGTGCGGACATGATGTGTGTTACCAAGGAGAAGGAGTCGCCACTGATGATAGCATCTCGCCTGGGCCGTGCTGACAATGTCAAACTGCTTGTAGCCGACAAGCAGAACATCGAACTGCTTTTGAAGCAGAAGGATCGCCAGGCTAACACAGTTCTCCACCTGGCTGCGCTAAACGGCCATGTTGATGTTGCCGATACCCTGATTGGTGCTGGTGCCAAGGAAGTAGGCTGTAACCAGAATCACATGACACCCATGGGAGTCGCGGCTGCGTTTGGTCACCTGGACGTCATCAAGAAGATGAAGGACAAGGGCTTCTCCATTGTCAAGCCTGATCGTCGCCAGCGTCCGCCTCTGATCCTGGCGTGCCGCGAGGGCCAGGTTCATGTTGTGCGATATCTGCTACACCATGGTGCTGACGCTGATTGTGCAGACTCAAGCGGCAACACTGCAGCCCACTATGCTGCTGCGTATGGATGGCTACCGGTGTTGAAGGTGCTTGTAGAAGAAGGTGGTGCTAATTCTGATCCAGTTGCATCGTGGAAGGCGACCCCACTGTCGTGCGCTGCGTTGAAGCACCAGGCGGAGTGTGTCAACTACCTTGTCTCGCTGAAGGATGTCAATCTGAATGTGATTGACGGCC